AAAATCTCTACCTGTTCAACTGTCTAGGAGAATTGAGCAATTGAAGGATTTTTATCCAGACCTCAGATCACCTTAGTAGGTTTTCATTAACTTAAGACTACTTCAGAAGTCTAATATGGTAAAAACAATAGTGATGGAGCAATGAAGAAAAGGAGAGGGGAGATGAATTTGTGTGTGTGTGTGTGTGTGTGTGTGTGTGTGTATACACCTAAAATTTACTTTTGGTCAAACACTGGGTTTAGAAAACTAACCTACAGAGGTTAGTTTCACAGAGCACATCTGTGCACAGGGTACCTTGCACTTGGGTAAGATCATAGGCAATATTGTTTGTTGCTTTAGGGAATTAGTAGAAAATAAAACTATAGGAAATGAATAGCAACTAACATTTGTTAAATTTCTATCATGTGCCAGAAGCGATTGCAAGTTCTTTGAAGGCATACTTATGTAATTTTCTCATAACCCTATAGGGTAGTATTACTACCCTCATTTAATATAGGAGAACACAGAGAGATAAGTAACCCTCATTTAATATAACCCTCATGTTAAATAAGATAACCCTCATTTAATATAGGAGAACACAGAGAGATAAGTTCAGGGTCATACAACTATTAAGTGGCAGAATTGGGATACATTTTGGCTCCACAGGCCAAGCTTTAATTATTTTCCTATACTACAACTCAACCATGTTAGAATCAGCATATACAAATCCTTGAATACTATTTTTACAGTTTGGAATTTTTCTTTTTTTAAGGTAATGTCAAACCATTGAATTTGGTGTTTTTGAGCTAAGAAACAACCTGTTTAGAGTTGTGACTTGGGAAAATGATTTTGGCAGAATTATGGACTATTGCAGTGGTAACCAGCTGAACATTATAGAGTTACCTGTGGTGTTTTGAAAAATCCCAGTACTCAGGTTGCACCCCTATTTAATTAAATTAAAATCTCAGAGGGTGAGATGCAGACATCAGTACTTCTTTAAATTTTTTTAATTTTTTAAATTTATTTTTGAGAGAGAGAGTGTGAGCAGGGGGAGGGGCAAAGAAAGAGAGGGAGACACAGAATCGAATCAGGCTCCAGGCTCTGAGCTGTCAGCACAGAGCCTGATGTAGGGCTTGAACCCATGAACTGTGAGATCATGACCCGAGTCAAAGTCAGATGCTCAACCAACTGAGCCCCCCAGGCACCCCAGACATCAGTACTTTTTTATAGTCTCCTAGGTGATTTCAATGCATGGGCAAAATTGAGAACTATAGAAATAGAGGTAGTTAGCTCAGAGAACAAGTAAGCAAGCAGTTGTATAATCTAGGTTAACCGGTAGGGTAGTAGTAGCTGAATGGAAAATATGTCCCTTTTGGATTTTGCCTTTTTCCCTGGTTCTAGAATTTGCACTTTCCATATTTGGGTTACTTTATTAGTGTGGAGAGAAAAAAAAATTAGTTTTTGTACACTTACTGTGTTATCCTGATCTTGGCTTGATGTCTCACATGCTTTCTCATTTAATCTTCTTCATAATACTGTGGGGTAGATATTATTGTTTTTAGAAATGAAGAAACTGAGACTCTGAAGGGGTTAGTAATTTTTCTAAGATCACATAGCTAATCAGTGGGACATATTAGGATTTAAATACAGATACTCTTAATTTTATTATTCTTGTCATTGAATGAGGCTAATGTTTTTATATTAAAAATTGATCTGTGTCATACCTAGCCTTTTAAAATTTGTGTGTGCATTACCTAATGTGTACTTTGAAAAATGTCTGATACATGATCTATTTTATTTATTGATTTTTAAATGTTTATTTTTGAGAATGAGCGTGCACGCAGGGGAGGGTCAGGGAGAGAGAGAAGGAGACAGAGAATCCAAAGCAGGCTCCAAGCTGTCATCCCAAAGCCCAACACGCGACTCAACCTCACTAGAGGTCATAACCTGAGCCAAAAGTCAGACACTTCACCGACTGAGCCACCCAGGCACCCTGTGATCTATTTTATTTAACTCAAAGCTTTGTTCTCCTGTAACTAATGTTGATTTTTCTGGCTGGGGTGCATATTTTGGCATTTAGACAGTATATTGTTGCTAAAACATAAAGAACAGTTGCTAACTACATTTTATGTGTGGTAGATATTATGAGTCATGGAGATTGATGTTTCCATAATATTATTATCAGTCTTTCCTGTGGCTTGATACTGAACAGCATGATACCCTAATCAGTGATTTGTTAGAAATAGAACTATAGAAGAAAAAAAGATATTTGTTATATGGTTCTTATGTCTTAATTCAGATCCTAGTCATGATTCAGTATAGAATATAGGCTTATGTATCTGTGTAAGGAATTGACCAAAATGAAATTTCAAGTAAATAAATTCTTACTTCAGACTGAAAATTAAAATTATTTAAATAGGTCATAAGATTAAGTGCCATATACTGAAATATTTATGTGTATGAGCTGTCTCCTATAACCAGTTGTCATATCTAACTTGGCATGATTGTGATGTGTTAACATGGTTTCTTTTGTGCTTTTCAGGTGATTAAGAATGGTTAGGTCAGATATAGAGTATGTTAATGAGGTCAGAGGCCAAGGTCGTGGGTTTCATTCTTTTAATGGGCAGTTCACTTTTTTTTGGTTTTATAACCACAGACTTCACCAAGCAGTCTCACCAGATGCATGACATTAGTTACAGCTGACACAATCGATTTTGAACTTCCCTTGTATATGAAGTCCTTGATGAAGGAGGTTGCTTTAATTATAACAAGAGACCACCATTACCAGAAGAAATATAACTTATGCTCCATTACCAAAAATCAGTGGTGAGTCTATAATAGTGTTATTTATGAAGGACAGAATTATTTAAGAAAAAGGATGGGGGAATTCCTAACAAAGGTATTTGGGCTTATGATGGCCAGAGACTAATAGCAGAAGAAAAGAAAATAGGAATATGCTCTACATTACAACTAAAAATAATCTTAAGAATTGAGGTAATGAGGTGATTTTCTATGTTGAATTGTTTGTATAACAGAATTTTAGGATTAGAACAGATCTTATAAACAAATAAGAAAACTAAATTCAAGATATTTATTCAGATTTACCCAGGGAATCGAGCTAGGCTTAAAACTGAGATTTCAGAATTCAAGTCCATATTAGTTCTTTGTGTATATTAAGCATGCAGAATGTCATAGTTTGGAAAATACAAAGATGTGTAAGATTTTTTTTTTTTTTTTTTTTTTTTTTTTTGCTGTAAGAGAATTTGACTCATATCATAAACAAAGGAACTCAGCAAACCACATACAAGAAATTCTTTGCTAGGGATTAGAGTTACAATAATGACTAACCCTTTTTTTCATTCGTGCATTTATCATTCAGTGTTTGTTGAGTGTCTGCCATGTGCCAGGCTTTGTTCTAGTCTTAAGGGATACAACAGTGACCAAAACAGACTAAGTTCCTACTTCAGTAGAGCTAACATTCCAGTGGAGGAAGACCAAAAAAAAAAAAAAACAAAAAAAAAACATAAATATATACTGTTATGTGGTGATTGTTGTGATGGTAAGATGGATAGAGAATGGCAGAATAGGGGATGGGTATTGCTGTTTTCTGGGAATATTATGAAAGTCTTCTGATGAAGTTACTTTTGAACAGAGTCCTAAAAGTAGTTTTCTAGGCAATGATAAGAGCCAAGTGTGGAGTTTGCAGGTCTGTTAGGCAGACTATGGTGGTTAGGCTATAAGTGTCGAGGGAGAAAGGTGAGTGAAGTGTCTTTCACCTCCTCAGTCAAGTGATCTTGTTGGCAGTGGGGACCATGTTTTTATTGTGTTTTTGAATTCCTGTACCTAGCATAGTAAATGAATGAGGAAGGTAAGACTGAATGCAAGGATATGAGAAAAGGTGATAATTGGTCTGGCTTAGGTAATAGTATTGATGGGAATTGAAGGAAAAGACTAGATGTGAGGTAGACATTGTCTAGGTAAAAATCATCACAACGTAATGACTTCGTAAGATGGGGGGAAAGAGAATCTCAGATTATTAAAGGGTTTAGGTCTGAGTGAAAGAAAGAGGCTATCATTGGAAAACTTGGGCAGATTGGCATCAAAGCTGATTTCAGAGGGAAGCTACTGAGTGCTGTTTTTGACTTAAAGATGCTTTCTAAAGCAAGCTAAATAATTTGTAAAATTGGCTTACAGAATTTTATTATTTTCAAGTTTATTTATTTTGAGAGAGAGTATGCTTGAACAAGTGGGGAAATGGCAGAGAGAGAGGGAATCCCAAACAGGCTTAACACTGTCAGTGCAGAGCCTGATGCAGGGCTCAGTGTCACAAACCATGAGGTCATGACCTAAGGTGAAATTAAGAGTTGGATGCTTAGCCCAGTGAGCCACCCAGGTGCCCTTGTTTATAGAATTTTAGAACCAGAAGTCAATTTGCAATAATGTTTGAACATACAGGTAGCAATATTTTGGAGTGAAGATTTGGAAATAGACTAGGTCTGAAGGGGAAACTTGAAAGTTGTCTAAATAAAGGTGATAAATAAGCCTAGAGAATGAATGCAGTCTGCTGGAAAAGAGCGGTAGAGAAAAAACAACAAATAGTTGAGGACTGAGCACTGATGATGGCCATTCACTTACCAAATGAGAAAACAAACTAGAGGCAGGAAAATAGGAGAAGGGAAGCCAGAGGAGTAGAGTACTTTAGGAACCAAGGGAAGAGAAAGCTCGCATGGGGAAAAGGCTGGTAGAATTATATGCCTACAGGGAGGGCAGAACTGTGAAAAGCTCCAGAACAGGTCAGAGAGGACTTCACAGATTGGCAGATTAACTGGAATTTACGGGAGCCTCAGAATTTTTTTTTAAAGGATTTAGTTTCCAGTATAAACATATTATTGCACTTTTTTCCTACTTCTTAAAAGATTAATGCACCACTTAATTCATTTGATAAACCATGGGTGCTCTCTAAATTCAGATTCAAGTATATGACATTAAATCACTGCTGAGAAAATTTGTTTTTTTTTTAGATCTTGCCATATTCAGAAGTTGCTGAAGTTCAAGAGACAGTGAGTAATATATGGTGCTATGTTTGAAATGTTAACATTTTTATATTTTTTCAGGATTTAAAGTTGGATTCTTAAAATATATTTTTCACTGTATTTTATCATAGATGATTATGTCATTATACAAGGTAGCTAATATAAGTTAAAAAGATCAGCTTTAAAATTTTCATTTTTTCCAAAATGTAAATAGGTTTAATTTTTTTTTACTGTAAAAATAATGCATACAAATGTGGCATGTTTAAATACAAAAGAATGTAATAAATAAAATTCTACTTTCTAGAGGCAACTACTTTTAATATTCTGGTGGTCTCTGTAATTTACTAAGTTTATTCATATGTGTATATGTTACATATGTAATTTTATAAAAGCGGAGTCCTACAAACTTTTTTGTAGACTATTTTTAAAAGTTAGTATATAATTGGGGCGCCTGGGTGGCGCAGTCGGTTAAGCGGCCAACTTCAGCCAGGTCACGATCTCGCGGTCCGTGAGTTCAAGCCCCGCGTCAGGCTCTGGGCTGATGGCTCAGAGCCTGGAGCCTGTTTCTGATTCTGTGTCTCCCTCTCTCTCTGCCCCTCCCCCATTCATGCTCTGTCTCTCTCTGTCCCAAAAATAAATAAATGTTGAAAAAAAAATTTTTTTTAAGTTAGTATATAATGAATTGTTCAGTCAGTGAAAAAAAACTTTAACGACTACACAGTATTTTGTTGTGTGAAGGTATTATTGTTTATTTCATAATAGATTACTGTTGGAGATTACTACAAATGATGTGATAAATGCCTATGGATACATCTTTTTGAATATTTCAGATGATCATCTTGGTATACTCTCCTAGAAGTGCATTTGCTGGGTCAAAAGGATGGTTAGGTTATTTTAAAATAACTGCTTGGCAGGCCAGTTAATATTTTCTATCTAACAGTGATAAGCTCTAGTTCCTAGAAAAGCACTTCTGTAAAATATCTCCTGCAAAAGTCAGGGATAAAATGTACACAGTGTGTGTTTTGCTGATGATTGTAGGAATAGGAAAAGTTCTGTTAAGTATAGAGAGATGACTCCTGTCAGAAGAACAAACAAATCTCAGATGTGCTTTAGATCTCTCACTGAAGATTCTTACTCTAAGGGCCAAAGATAACACTAAATACAGTACTTTTGGGATGTGTTATATAATCCTCCTTCCCAATTGTGGCTCCTGAGAGCCAGCTGCAGCAGGATTGTGTCTCTGAGTACAGCTCGATCAACTTCATTGAGGGAAGAGGCGCTACTTGCTTGAAACTTTATTTTCAAGTTGTATCAATGCTTGATGAGCTGTACTTTGGCTTAAGCTCACAGGATGACTTAAGTCACATCAATATGTATGCTAAGAGGGAGATGCTATGCTACTGGCAGTGGACTCAAGCTCTAGCTCTTATGGGATTGTTTCTGTGTTTTAGGGTGGTCATCTGTCCTGAATTGCTTGGGATTAAGGGGCTCCCAGGATGAGTGTGTGATTGTGAACTTTTTCTGCCTATTCCTTTACACTTCTGAAAGATAGTGTAGGCTAGTTGTTGGTGGCGTGGTAAATATTTAGAAGCACATTAAAATAAAATCCCAATGTTTGCATAATGCTCTTTTCCTGAGGTTTGTAGACTAAAACCGGTAGAGATTTAGGTAATGGCTATATTTCATGCTTTTAGTTAAAAGTAGTTGATAGTGTACTCATTAATAATAAATAGAAAAATGCTAGGCATCTTAGTATTATTTTACTATTTTCAATCCATAGTTTCTGCCAAAATAGAGAATCTGTTTATATGATACACAAATTGTTGAAATGACTGTGTGGACATTGTTGAAGGGATAATGATAAATATGATGTTACTCAATTAGGGGAAATATTTCCATCATATATTAATGGTCTTTTTTTTTTTTTTTTTTTTTTTGAACACGGTGAGGAAAAGTTCCTGGATTCTTCCAAGATTCTAGTAGTATTTTGGTTCTCTAACAAAAGCCAAGAAGAGTTGGCTAGCTTTATATTTTTTAAACTATCTTACAAGATACTTATATGGAATGTTTCCACATCAGTAATTTCACACTGTCTTTATTCATGTGTTACACAACATGGGACTGTGCAAATTAGGCCCATGTCCTAAAAGCAGTAAAAATAAGTGTAGTGTGCAATTAGGCCTTGCACACAGGACCAGTGATGTAAGTTACATGGTAAAATTAATATGTAATCTTCAATTACTTAAATCACTTTTCCTATTGGTATCACTTACAGGCAATTCTGGGAGGATAATTTCACTTGTATCCCAGTTTAATGCTTTTGTATCCACAATCTTCTGGGGAAGGTTTCTGAAGTCTTGCTTATTTTTTTATTGTTTTTCCACTTTTGTTTGGAGTATTTCAGCTTAATTCTTAGTTCCGTTGTTCCATTATAATGTATGTTTTCTAGTGCCTGCCTGTTCTTTTATTCTGTGGCATTTTTCAGTCTTCTGTGAATAGCCATTCAGGTCATATGCCCTAACTCTCATACATAATCATAATTTACACTGTTTCTTACAAACCTGAACCTTTCCCTGTACAGGTCTGTGTGTCTAACGCCCTATTTGACATTTCAACTTGAATGTCTAACAAACACTTCAAACTTAACCTGTCCCAAACTTAGCACTTACATTTCTTTCTGTAAACTAGTCCTTCTCACTGTCCTTTCCATCTCTGACAGTGACAGTTCCATCCTTCCAGGTGCTCAGACCCCAACATTTGACACCATTTTGATTCCTCCAGGGTTTTTGTTTGTTTGGTTTGTTTTGTTTTTTAATTTCATACTTGCTCTGTTTGGAAATCCTGTTGACTTTCTTTTCAAAAATATTCAGAACTCAACTACTTCTTCTCACCGTCACTGCTACTTCCTTGGTCCAAGTCTCCTTTATCTCTCCCGTAGATTATTATGGTAACTCCTAATTGATTGTACCTTTGTTCCTCTAGTCTATTCTTAACATTACAGCTGGAACAATCCTGTTAAAACATATTCAAATTATGTCACTCCTTTTCTCAGAAATCCAGTGGCTCCCCATCTCATTCAGAAAAAAACCCAAAGTCCTGACTGGGTCCTACACAATCTAGCACTCATTTACTTCTTTGACTTTATTTCCTGCTTCTCTCGTACTTCTAGTCCAGCCTCTCTGGCCTTGTTACTCTTCTCCAAGCCCTTCAGACTTGCTCCTATCCCAGTCCTCCATTCTATACTTGTTCTTCTCTCTGCCTGGAATACTCTTCTCTTTTATGTCCTTATGCTGAACTCCCTCACTTTACTCAGTTCTGTAGTGAAGATTTCTTAGGCCACCCTATCTTCAATTATGACCCCCCTTCCTTAATATTTTATGTGTCCTCATTTTCTGCTTTTTTCCTTAGCATTTTTACTATATAATATGTAACAAATTTTTAATTGTTACTATGTTGTTACTCATATCTTCCACTAGAACATAACTACCACAAAGGGCAAATTTTTGTCTTTTTTGTTCACTGTATCCTTTGATGCCTAAAATGATTACTGTCTATATGATACCTATCATATCTCAAGTATTTGAATGGATGGCTCAATAATAGGAATAGACCGTGTTTATTTTGATTATTCTCCAGTGTCTCAATATGAAAAAAAAATTAGAATCAGATTTACATGACCCAAACATGCTTGAAGATGTAATGTTGAAAGCATAATCTGAAACAAATATTCAGAAGTTGCTGTATATGCTAGGGATTATTTTCTGGGAGCAAACAGGCAAGGAGTACAGCTACAAAGAAGTTGACGTAATGCTGTTACTTAACAAAATTTGAGAATATGTACAATAAAAGTGAACTTAATCACTTACCCTAAATAGAAGACCAACTAAAAAACCTTCAAAAATGACTGGCCTTGTGAAATTAAATACTCCAAACTTTGCATATATGGTTAGAACCATTGCTTTCCTTTAAGAAATTTAGATTTACTGGTAAATTCAGGGAAATTAGTAATTATTCATATCAATAAAGAAAGATATTTTTAGAGGATGTCTATGAAATATTTGTCAAGCTTACCATGGTTATCTCTGTCAGTTTTCTAACTTCTTTCAGTTTTCCAATATCATAGTAGTTATTTATTGGTACATAACAAATATTCCAAAATTTAAGTGGTATAAAACAATAAACATTTATTATTTTACAGTTTCTGTGGGTCAGGAATCTAAGAGCAGTTTACTAGGTGTATCTAGCTCAAAAATCTCTTCTATGGTTGTGGTCAAGCTACTGGGGAGTGTGGCTGCTGCAGTCTCATCTGAAAGCTTGACTGGGTGTAAGGGAGGGAGGAAAGGTCAAGGCAGGAGATTCATTTACAAACTCACTGGTTGTTGACAGACATCATTCCTTCACCTCATGGGCTTCCCTGCAAGGCTGCCTGATGACTCAGCAGCTGGCTTTCCCCAGGGTGATCTATCTGAGAGAGAGTAACAGACTATAAACAAGATGGAGGTCATAGTCTTTTTACCGTCTAATCTTGAAAGTGACATCCATTCAATTCTGCCATATTCTATTCATTAGAAGTGACTCAGTAAGTCCAGAAACACTCAAAGAGGGGATTATGCACCAAGATATGGGGATCACTGGAGCCTTTGCAGAGATTGCCTACCACAAATACTTTAATCTTTTTCCACATGCTTGAGAGTTGTGGTAACATGGTCATCAGTAATAAGGATTTGAGCACAATTAGTTTGTTGTCATTCCAGTTGTATTTTTTTAGTTTATCTGTGAAGCTGAAACCAGTCTATAGAAGAATAGGAAACTACAGAAAATGACTAGAGCAAATGCATTTAAAGGAATTAGAACATGGTTTAAAGCACTGTGAAATAACCATCACTTAAGGGAAGCAACAGGGCCAAGAGTTTTTTCCTAGGAGGCAGAGTGAACAACTGCTACCTTTCTTTTTGGTCACAGATAATTTTGCTTCATTCCCTTCAAATAAGAGCAAGCAATAATATAATCAGTGAGAATTTTTTATTTTTGTTGTTACTTTAGGTTTGATGTTACTGTACTTGGTATTTGAGCTGAAGTAAAGCTGAAGACTGTTTCTTTTATTTTTTTAAGTTTATATTTATTTTTGAAAGAGACAGAGACAGTGCATGAGCAGGGCAGAGAATGAGGGAGAGAGAGAAACCCAAGCAGGCTCTGCAATGTCAGCGCAGAGCCTGATGTGGGGCTCCATCTCACAAACTGCGAGATCATGACCTGAGCCAATTATCAAGATTCAGACTGACTTAACTGACTGAACACCCAGGCACCCCAAAGCTGAAGACTCTGTTTCTGCCAAGGGAGACCAAAACACTTGTCCCTAAGCAACATTTATTTTCATTTTTTTTTTTTTTAATTTTGTGTGTGTGTGTGTGTTTTCAATATATGAAATTTATTGTCAAATTGGTTTCCATACAACATCCAGTGCTCATCCCAAAAGGTGCCCTCCTCAATACCCATCACCCACCCTCCCCTCCCTCCCACGCCCCATCAACCCTCAGTTTGTTCTCAGTTTTTAAGAGTCTCTTATGCCTAAGCAACATTTAGCATAATGTTGTATGTTAAGACAGTTTCCAGACAAAAGGTCACCAGTCTTTCCCAGTTTCTTTTAGGTGATTGCATGTTATTCATTTAAGAATTGGGTCTTCTTCCTTCTTAAAGCGCAGTAGCTCCAGGTGCTTTACTTCATGTTTAGTGGGTCCCAAGAAAATTTTGTCTGACAATAAAATTGTATCATTTCTAATCAATATTCCTCTTCGGTTTTTTTCTTCTTCTTTTTTTTTTTTTTGGTATTTGAGAAAAAATTTACTTTGTTGATGTCTTTGTAAAAGCTCTTTGCACAAAGCTTGGCATATAATGAGCACTTAGTAAATGTTCCTTTCTTTTTATGTAAGAAACAGACTGAATTTCTATGTAGTGTTAAGTGCTCTCATGGCATGCAGAACTAATATTTAATAGTGCATGGGTGTTACAGATTTTTTAAACCACTTACATTTAAAGAATTAATAACTTTGGGCTGTCCTTTACATTTCTGAATAATTTTACCACTCCTAACCCATATCATGAGTTAAAATTTGAAAGTAATTTTTGACTTGAATAATTTTCAAAACAAAGTACTTGGTTGATTTCGGTTTTGCCTTTCCATCTTTATTTTCCAAAATTTAAACAAATATTTTATAATGCTTAAGCCAAGATCTTTTTATGTGTGGCAGAGGAAATTCCTTGTGAATTATGATTATTAGGATTGATTTGCATGTGCTTTCTACTTATAAACTAATGCTTATTTTCCTTGTCCTTTTGTTTCACTGCTGCTTCAATCCTGATGCATTTTGCTTCTTCCTGGTTTGGATTATATTTGTTTGCTGCTCAATTACCCTGCATTAAAAGCTTCTTGGTGATAGCAAAGATGTCCTTGGGCCATCAAGTAAGTAGCCAAAGTTTGAATGGCATATTTGGAGACAGAATGTTTTGATGTGTACTTATAAGAGGCATACAGTATTTCTCTTATTAAGTCTTCTACTTTTCTTCCCAAGCACTGAAATGCAAAGAATGTAAATGGTGATTCAGTGCCCATCTGTTGTCAGTGCCCATATGAGATTGATAATGTTTGTGTATTTGCTTCTTGATTGTCTAAAGATGGATTATATACTTAGCTAAATTATCTAATTCATAATTTTAGACCTCATCTTCAGGCATGGTGGGAGGGGTTAAAAAAAAAAAAAAAAGACCTCTTCATAGTTTTCCTTTCTATAGTCATCATAAAGCATAGATCAGACTTCTTTGAGACTGGACATGATAAAAAAATTCACTTTCATGTGAAAATGAGAAATATTGTTTTATTTTGTCACAATCTTTACATAATAGATAATTTGGTTATGAAACACATTTATTTTTACTCTGGGATTTTATAAGTGAAGCGTGTTTCATCTTAGTGATTTAAAAGATGTACCCATTAAATTTATGTCTGAAAAAAAATTTTTTTTGACCAGACACTGTGCTAGCTTTGGGGAATATATGATGAATAAAATATGCACCCTGCCTGTACCCTTACATTATAGTCTAGCACGGGGGTTACACCCATGAATAGATAATTTTAGAGCATTGTGACAGGGGCAACTTTTTTTTTTTTTAAATCATAGTATTACTGAGGTGAAAGAAACCTAAAATATCATCTTTTTTTCTAATATAATTTATTGTCAAGTTAGAGTGTATTGTTGACATAGAGTGTATACAGTGTGCTCTTGGCTTTGGGAGTAGATTCCCATGCTTAATCACTTACATACAACACCCAGTGCTCATCCCAACAAGTGCCCTCCTCAATGCCCATCACCATTTTCCCCTCTCCCTCCCTCAGTTTTTTCTCTGTATTTAAGAGTCTCTTATGGTTTGCCTCCCTCTCTGTTTGAAACTATTTTTTCCACTTCCCTTCAAGCATTAATTTTCTAGACAAAGAGCCTGAAGCTAAGAACTTACATGACCAAAAAGAGTTAGAAATGGGTACTATGCCACTGTGTCTTCAGCAAGATTCTTTTGAGTTCAAAAATCATAATGAAACCATCAGTTTGCTAAATTCAAATCTGCCAAATAATTAAAATATTACTGTCATAAATCGGACAAAAATTAAACTTTATTGAAGCGTAATGTAGAAATTATATTGATTTAGGAAGTTTTAGTATTTCTTCTTAAACTGTTATCTGACCACAGTAAGTCAGCTCAATGCTTTGGGGCTCATTTTTTTCCCATTGACTAAACAAGGTGAAATAGCAAGCTTTCTTCTAGTTGTAAAATTCTTTGGTATGGATTGGTTGCTATTTGTCTCTAATATTGATTATAGTATATAATGTAATTTTTTTTCTAAAAAGAGGTGATTTAAAGTAATATGCTAAAATTCCTTTTTAAAATTCTTAATTTTAACAATTCATAGTATTTTAAATATATTTTTTATTACACAACCAGCATTATTAGAATAGTAGAATTTTTTTTTTGAGAGAGAACATGAGTGGGAGAGAGGGGCAGAGAGAGAGAGAGAGAGAGAGAGAGAGAGAGAATCTTAAGCAGGCTCCACCCTCAGTCCAGAGCCTGACACAGAGCTTGATCCCACAAACCTGGGATCATAACCTGAGCCAAAACCAAGAGTTGGATGTTCAATTGACTGAGCCACCCAGGCACCCCTAGAATAGTAGAAATTTTAAAAGTTGAAAAAAGTATACAAATATGAAAACATTTTTATGTTTTCTTGTCAGCCTTGCTTGTGATACCTGGCAGATATTTTCAATGGATTTTTCAATTCCTTTAGTTACCTTATGTATTTAGATGTTGGCTCAGGTGAACTGATTGGCAATGATGAACTGACCAGTAGAAATGCATTTTTTAAGATAATTTTTATTTATTCATTAATTCATTCACATAATGCACACAAGTTGGGGAGAGAGAGAATCTTAAGTGGGCTTCATGCTCAGTACAGAGCCTATCATGGGGCTCAATCCCACCACCCTGGGATTATGATATGAACTGAAATCAAGAGATGGTTGCTTAACTGACTGAATCACTCAGGTGCCCTACAGTTGCATTTTTAATACCAACTACAGTTATCCTATTTTAGGAATTGTATTTTATAATAGGTCTTTAATTTCTGCTTGGACTAGAGAAAATTTATTGTGTTTATACATTTTCTGGATACACAAATGAAATATACAATATATATTAGAGGTGAGTTTATATCGTATTCTGCCAACTCTTAAAAAGCTGAGGATATATAATTACTTACTAGAGATCATGTATCTTTTAGAGTGAAAAGTAATTTCATTAATATTAGGATTTGTACTGAATGAAAAAGCTATAACGATATATACAAACATGCTTAAATTCTTTAAGTATTTGAGAAAAGGTACATCATCTGTAAGGGGAATACTAGGATTTACATAGAAATTATTTATGACTTTAAAATAATTACTTAACTTGATTTTAGCTTCCTTAGATTAAGGACCAATACCAGGCTATGAAGCTTGGAAAATTCTTCAGATTTTATATTGATGTATTGAATTCAGAAAGTAATGATAGTAGTTATAGAATCATATCCTCCTTAGAAGTTGCAGTTGGTAAGTTAATTATATTACTATTAATTATCCAGCATAGTTAGTTTCTACAGTAGTTAAGATAGTTATGCAATATGAATAGCAAAATAGGTTACTTTATTTCTACTAAAAGTAGAACCAGGAGAGGGCACTGCTATGCTGTCTTTAGTAGATGAGGCAGTTGTAGTGTCAGAAACTGTATTGGAATCATGCAGTGATTCATTTATCAAAATCTGTCCAGTGATTTGGCAAATATTTATTGTCAGTTTTATGCCAAAGGGTACAAATCAAAACCGTGAGTTCCCTACTTGAGCTTACATTCAAATAGTCTAAGATTGTACAAATGATGTAGGACATCAAAATGATTTTTCTATTCTGCAAATCCACTTGTCTGTATAGTTGTTAATACTTGTGAATGGGGCAAGAGAGAACAAGTAGGAAACAATTGTTTTTCTAAGTACTTTTATAAACCCTCCCACTTCAAGGTTCTCAAAGTCATAAATAGTAATACCTCAACTGGTAAGGAGTTAGAGGTGAATACAACTAAATTTACAATTCTCAGACTATTTCCTTTTTTATATAGTGAAGTTACTTAAGATACAGATACCTATATCTTACTGATGGAATCCTGAAACATACTTTAATTCTATTAGTTGTTCTTCTCATAATGTATTTTAAATTAGCCTAAAAAGTATTGTCTGATACTACAAATGAATCTATGTAGCATATGTAGATTATAAAGCATAATCATCCAGTATGTGTTGAACCTACTGCTCAACTTAAGAACCTGAGTCTTAAAAATCCCTCATGTTCAACTATGTACTTCTTCTCTCGTCTATCCCTGTGCCTGCCCCCAAGAGGTGATGACTAGTTTCTATTTTTCATCATTCTTTGCTTTTTTAAAAAGTGTATTTTTTGTTATTTTTGGGTGTTTTTGTTTTGTTTTTTGTTTGTTTTTTGTTTGTGGTTGTTTTGTTTGTTTTTTAGAGAGAGTACACGAGTGGGGGAGAGGGGCAGAGGGAGAGAGAGAGAGAGAGAAAAAAAAAGAATCTTAAGCAGGCTCCACGCCCAGCCAAAGCTTGACACGGGGCTCCGTCCCACCACCCTGGGATAATGACCTAAGCCAAAAACAAGAGTCAGACTGCTCAACCGACTGAGATGCCAGGCACTTATTTTTTTTTTTTCAGTATGTGAAATTTATTGTCAGATTGGTTTCCATACAACACCCAGTGCTCATCCCAAAAGGTGCCCTCCTCAATACCCATCACCCACCCTCCCCTCCCTCCCACCCCCCATCAACCCTTAGTTTGTTCTCAGTTTTTAAGAGTCTCTTATGCTTTGGCTCTCTCTCCCACTCTAACCTCTTTTTTTTTCTTTTTTTTTTCCTTCCCCTCCCCCATGGGTTTCTGTTAAGTTTCTCAGGATCCACATAAGAGTGAGAACATATGGTATCTGTCTTTCTCTGTATGGCTTATTTCACTTAGCATCACACTCTCCAGTTCCGTCCACGTTGCTACGAAGGGCCATATTTCATTCTTTCTCATTGCCACGTAGTACTCCATTGTGTATATAAACCACAATTTCTTTATCCATTCATCAGTTGATGGACATTTAGGCTCTTTCCATAATTTGGCTATTGTTGAGAGTGCTGCTATGAACATTGGGGTACAAGTGCCCCTATGCATCAGTACTCCTGTATCTCTTGGGTAAATTCCTAGCAGCAGGCACTTATTTTTAAATTCCGTGTATGTCACTAAGTTTTGCTGGTATTTAATTTTATGAGAGTGCTGTATGTCATTTTCTAGGATTTTTTTTGTAGTTAATATTTTATGTTCCAGATTCAGCCATGTTTTGGGGTATAGATATAGATCATTCCTTTTCAGTGCTATATGCTATTCCATTAAATGCATATACCACAGTATACAAAGCCATTTATTTTCAGTTGGTGAATATTGAAATGGTTTTGATTTTTACTCTGAACATTCTTATTGTCTCTTGGTAAACACATATAAGAGTATTATTTCTAGGTATAAAGCTAAAAGTGGGATTGTTGGATCCCTATGGTATGCTGGTGTTCAGTTTTTTTTTTGTTTTTTTTTTAATTTTTTTTTCAATGTTTATTTATTTTTGGGACAGAGAGAGACAGAGCATGAACGGGGGAGGGGCAGAGAGAGAGGGAGACACAGAATCAGAAACAGGCTCCAGGCTCTGAGCCATCAGTCCAGAGCCTGACGCAGGGCTCGAACTCACGGGCCGCGAGATCGTGACCTGGCTGAAGTCGGACGCTTAACCGACTGCGCCACCCAGGCGCCCCACTGGTGTTCAGTTTTATAAGGTAGTTCTAAATTTC